AATGGTGTGGAAAGGATGGCTAAAGGGGGAGAAGGGAGGCCATCAAAAAAAAAAAAAAATCCAGCCATCATTATTGTAGTTTATATACTTTATATGAGCTTTTTGGAGGGCAGAGGGAGGATTTGTGTCTTTAGCCCATTTATACTCGGTCAGGAAAAGACACACTGAAATTGCGCAATCAACCCACTCTCTCATGTTTTATTGAAGCATATTCCAAGCTTTAGCCAATACAAAAAAATTGTTATAACACAATCAATTTTACATACATAGAGCTAAAATTTGATGTGATAGTAGCCGAGAGTCATCACAAACAAAAACTCAGAATGCTATCTACTGTTTGCTTAAAACATTGACAATGGTGGAATCAGTGCTGCCTGTTAGCAAATTGTCTTATGGACCATTGGATGGTTTTTATTTTTGGTTACAATCACTATTTGTACATCTATATCTGATTAGCATTTGGAGTAAATGGCTGCCACAGCAAAGTGTTTTTAAGAAGGCATGAAAACAGCCAAAGCTAAGCCAATTTTTACAAATACTGAGCTAATATTTGGTATTATACTCAACACATAAGTTAAATGCAAACACAAGTCGCAAGATTTCATATGAAACTGTACATTTATGTTTTACAAGGTTTGAGCTTCATCCTTTTCATCACAAGATAATTAACACTTTTGACATTTGGCTATGGCTGCCACAGCTACTCAGCCTTTGCAAACACAAAAATGGCTGCAACATACTCCGAACTAGAAGCACTTGGAGAGTGCAAACCTCCGCCAAGTCCAATTTCCCCCATCCTGTAATGGAGTTAATGCACAAAAGCAGAGATGGAAACACATTTGCCAAGTAAGTTGTGACGTAGCGAACGTTTAAGCAGGCAGTATGCACGGGATTTCTTCCCGGTGGAGTCCAATGTGGAAAAAAAAGGGAAAGTCAGACTTGTCACCCGACGTTATTGTTGAAAGCTTTCGCATCTGTGCTACGTGATTCAAAAAAGCAGAGTTCTCATCGCATGTGTAATCACACAGACACACACACGTCTTCCTATCTTTGTGAGGACCACACACAGCGGCCACAACCATGCTCTGCGCATTTGTTTTTACCCAGTTTGGCGAGAGAAGGATAGAGGGGCGCACAAATAGCTCTCGACTTGATCTGGCCTCATTTGAATAATAATAAAAATGAACAAACAAACAAACAACCTCCGAGTCTGAAGTCCACCGTGTCACTCCTCTTCCTCAATCTTCATAGATCTGTGTACAAGCCTACCAACAATGTGGTGTGTTTGAGGAAACGGGAAAAATAGGTTTCATGCTGCAGTCACACACTTCGTGGTCACAAAACGTTCTCAAAATGCGCACCAAATTTGTAAAAATGTGCACATTATGGCAAGAATTAATCATAATTACATCTGGTTTTAACATGACTTTTATAAATTTTGAAGTCCAAACACTGAAAGCTGTCACTGTCTTTTACAGAAGCCCTGTGAAAGCATCACAGCTTTGCCGATCTGAGAGGATTAAAAGAAAATAAATTCCTCTATCTGCATTGTGATCCGGAACATAAACAAAATTTAATGGTGTGTTACTTGTGCCAGTAACGTCCTGATGCATCTCAGTAATCCAGGTAAAAAATCAAAGGAAAAAAAAAATTGTATAGGTCCTCTGGACGGGTTCTTCTTTAATGAAACGTTTCGTCTCTCTTCCAAGAGACTCTCTAACTAGTTTCAGGCAAATTACAGATGATTTGAGATGAATTGAGATGATTACAGCCACAGAATCAGCCATTCCTTAGAGAGTTTGAGCAAACAGCAAGAAAGAAGGCGGACTACAGGAACCACCTAAGTTTCAATCTCCGCTGCAGAC